ACCAAATCCTCTTATATGTCTTTGGTAGCAAGCATTTTGTCGGTGGCCATCTAGAGATCAAACCAGTGCTTGCCCTATATACTCTGTAAGTAAAGAAAGGTGGGCAGGACAGGGCAGATTTCAGACAAAGTGGAAAGAAGCTACAATGTGGTAGATCCAAGAGAGAGCTGTCATGGGGAGCAAGTGGTGGGAACCTCATTAAGTTGTGTCTGTCCATACAAAGTAGGTAGGAAATCAACACTATTCTGCAGAAAACAATGAAAAGAGGAAGAGGAGGAGAGCAAGGCAGGGAGGAGGGAAGGGGGAAAGAGGAGGGTGGGAGGGAGTGAAGGGAAGAAGAAATAGAGGAAAGAGGTTCTGCTCTCGGTTAAGTACAAATTTCATTTTCTATAAAATAAGACAAAACTATCTTTTATTTTGTTGCCTATTTTTTTATTTATATCTTTTACATCATTGTGTATTCCCAGTAAAATCCCCACCACCAGTTCACCCGAGAACCATCACCATAGTGTCCCTTTGCTCTTCTCTCCCCTGTTTTGATCCCTTTTCCTCCCTCTCCCTTGCAGAGTGTCTCTTATTTATGGCTGCCTGCTAGGGTTGTTGTTTTATTATTATTAATATTATTTTTTTTTCCTGAACCCTTATTTGGTTCCCCTATGTTCCTCCTATAAGTGAAACTATCCAATATTTTTCTTTTTCCCTTTGGTTTTTTTCACTGAGCATGATCCCTTCAATACAATGGAAAAATATCTTTTTAAAAGATACTTTAGTGTTTTAGTAGAGGTTTGAGAATTACTCTGTTGTCTTTCAAGAAATAATGACACAAACAAAAAGCCATACTACTGCATTGCAAACACAGCACTGTGGACTGTCATTTATGTGTGGTGTCATTTAGCCCCCACCAGCTCTGTGAAATGGTTTCTAGGACCTGGAAACGTCATATGCCAGGCTAGTTTCTCATTGCCAATATTTGACAAAACCCAGCCTAAAATCTAAAGTCACAATTTAAAGTGTGCGGAAATACCAAAAATTTTAAACAATGCTGGCAAAGCTATGTTGAAACTCTTCTATAAATAGTTGCCTGATTATTTCTAATTCCCATTGACTGGTATAATGCAAGCTATTCAGTTATGTGATATGGATAGATATTTCCTTTTCAAAACATTGCACAAATACATGATTTCCTTTCTCTTTCTACCCTGTTGGAAAAGGAGGAAAAGAGCAAAGTAATAAGTATTTACCTCCAAGCTTAAAGCCTTCCTATCCTTTCAGTAACCACTGATGAGAGTTCCAAGTTACTAAAGGGAACACAACAGATTCCATTAGATTCAAGTACAACACTTGGGTTGCCTGAATAGAGAATGCCAAAAAAGCAAAGGAAAATATTATTGTTGCTGAAATCATTTGATGTCTATGACTAATATGAAACATGTTGGCAAATTGAATTTTTAGAAATGCCCAAAGGTCTTGGTTAGAGCTATGAATTAATAGCATACAGGAGTTCTGTCTGGAGGGGGAAAAAAAAGGACACAGATGTTCAATTATTTTTAAAGTTATCCGAATCGTAAAAGGGCCCAATAGAAATCTTAAACAGCCAATCTACGTACTTTATTCAATTTTTAATTTAAATTAAAATTTCCTCTCTCCTTCCTTTACTGCTCAATAATAAAACAGGTACATTTTAAGTTAATATTCTAAGGGAACTATAGGCTTTCTTGACCTTCTTATCCTAAATTTCACAAAACCAAAATTATCTTTGAAGTAACTCTGATAACTATACCCACCTCAGAGAATATGAAGCCGAGGTGTCCATTCATGTATGTGCTATGCCCCTCTGGGGCTGGAGGAAGTCAGAGATGGAAAGAATTGGGGGTAAGCCAGATTTTCAATTAACTCTTAACCCAGGCCCCAGAGGTCACCCTGGGCCTGCCTCAAGATGTTCTTCCAGTCTCTGCTTGATCATCCCCAGAGCAGAAGGCCTTTGCCAGGACCCATCCTATCTTGTTATGAATGCAGCTCTGATTGTTGGAGGGTGTTTGCTCATGCTGTGCCAAAATCTGCCTCCTGGTGTTTTCTACCCATTGTTCTTCCTGATATCTCTAGAATAATACCGTTTGACTCAATTTCCTCTCCTCTTGAACAGACCCTTAGATAATCCTCAACTGTTATGACTCCCTTATGCAATGTCTTTCTCAACATAAATTGCCTGTTTTCAGATCATACAACAACTATACAAATAAGAAAATAATAAGAGATGAAATAAGTAATTACCATAAGAGAAATACAAAAGAGTGGTCTGGAAATTTAAATTTTCTGTAAAAACAAATTGTTTTTTAACTGAAAATGTGAAACTCCAAATTGATAATGCAGTATATTTCCACCGTACTGTAACCATCCAATCACCCCATCAAAACAGAAATGTCATTGATAAGACTTTCTTAGTGATACCATACCTGCTCCTCAGTTTGCTTTTGCTTATTTACCACTACTGTCTACTTCAAGGAAAGTTCCTAGAAAAGTATGTATCTATACGAATATCTGTGACATGATTTCAGAATCTGAATATCATCTATTAAGATTGAAGGAGAGGCAATGAATTGAAAAATTCCAAACATAGAGAAAAATATTTAAAAATTAGTAAACTACCATATACTTAATAACATACAACTAATGTCTTCTTGTTTTCAATTTACCACATATCTGTGAATTTCTCCACCCGCCATCAACCTGACTTTTTATGCACCCATCAGAACCCCTAGTCCCTAATATTTCAGCATGTGTATCATTATGAGGGGTTTTTTTTCTTTTTTTTTTTTAAGATTTATTTATTTTTATACAAGAACCGAGGTACAGGTCAGATGCGCAGGAGGGTGAGAAGATTCACCAGAGACAGAGCGGGGAACAGAACAGGCAGACTGATGAAATACACTGCTGAGGGGAGCAGCGGGCAAGACAGGAGAGGTCTGCTGTCCCCGCCGGCTGGCGGGGATCGAACCCGCGCTGCAGAAGCTGTGGGTAGCTTCACAGTGCAGCGCTTAACCGCCACCCGGGAGGTCCTTTTTTTTTTCTATTTTTAATCAGCACTTTCTTCCGAATCCCTTTTGCCATTCTTTCCCTCATTCCCTCCATTTTCTCCATTTTCATTTCTGTAGCCTTTCTCCATCTTTCTTTTCCCAGAATCCAACGTGGTAAAAGGAAAAGTGTGAAAAATCTGAGCCTGGAACAGTCTTAAGGCACATTACGAAAGGTTATTGATGACACATAGGGCCTCACGGTGTTAAACTGCAAGTCTAGTACCAACGATGTCCTCATGTACAAACTGATACAAACTGACTTATAAGAGAGGGCGGTATAGCTCAGCATGCCAACTTAATAATTTACTATGAAAAATACAGCTATAAAATACTCAGGCATGTGCATTTCTTGATCAGTTTAGTTGTTCTCTGACCTAATCTATATGACAGGCCAAACTGTGAAGGCTTTTGGTGAATAGAGAGTTGAAGGAAAGGAATTAATTAGAAAGTTTTAGCAGCATGAAACAGAGATATTAAAAGTGTTGCTCTTTCACAAGGGACCATGGTGATAGTTCACGGGTGAATGGGTGATGGGAATTTCACGGGACTATAACCAAGATGAAAATGCATACATTGTACAAACATGAAAAATTATGTAAAAAATATATAAAATAAAATAATTTTTAAAAAGTGTTGCTCTTTTAGCAACTGGCCTGCACAATGCCTGTCACCAAAGAGAGAGGCTTCATTATTAGCACAATAATTAAATGAGTAGATGAATACTGACTCCACCCTAATAGAGCTGCCTAACAGACCAGGCTTTTGTGTTGTGACTCAGTGTACCTCTTACCTGAGCTGTGTGAACGCTGACAAAGTCCACCATTCCAAGTCCTTTCAAAAGAAAGCCCATGACTCTCATTCCCTTTGAATAAGGCCTTTCTTTTAGCCATATGTATTCCATTAATTAAGCTTTAATGAAGTTCTGATCTTACCAGGTTGGGTCTGAAGGACAAACTGTGTTTAAAATGAAAGGTCTCTATCTCTGTAATCATATCTTTGATAAAATTACCCTGCTTGAGAGTGTGCTTGTTTCAAAGACCAGGAAACACCACCTTCCCCAGTGAGGGAAAATCCATCCCTTTCTCTATCTTGAGATTCATGTCTGATAAGAAACATTAGTCATTTATTTTCCGTACTTCCTAATTACCAGCCCACGAAGACTTGGCAAGATGAGCTCTTCTGTGGAAATGCAGCAACATAATAGTACAAAAGACATATTTCACAATAGACCACTTCTACATAGTGACAGATAAATTCAATTTTGACAAATCAAATTCATTTTGAAATCCATAAAAGGAGTTTTCTAGTCATAAAGTCTCAAGGTGAATCCTTTAATTATATAACAACTTCCTAATGTAATTCTTACAAAGATGTATTAGATAAGTCATATTATCAGATTATTTTATAGGAAGGTATTCCAGCTGTCCCCTATTGCTTGACACCCATTCTTACCTCTAACCTATATAGATACCCTAACAAGTGTCTGTAAACATCAGCATTTCATGGTAGCATCAGACTAGAGTTTATCTGATGCCAATCATTACAGTGTTTGGGTAAAAAGGACTCAAAATCAAGGTTCTATTTCATGTGACTCTTCCTACAAATTGGGGGGAAATCACATACTTTTAGACATTAGCAACTCAGTAGTAAAATGCAACTGTCAACCAGAGTTCTTTAATTACTTCTATTATAAGCAGCCAGTGCAAAAACTTCAGATCCAGATAAAATCCCTTAAAGAGGATAAAAGACGTTATGACATGGAGAGTGGGCTTTTGCTCTCGGGGTTGAAATATTCTGACAGTAGCACATACACTGATTCACAGACCTCAGACTGGGCTTCAAAGACCACGTTTATTCAGACATCGGGGGGGTTTTGTCCTTTGATCATCTTTCCGTAGTGATGGAAATTCTTATTTTTTTTTTAAGAAACTAAAGCACAAAAGGAAACTGAAAAAGCTACAAACTGATTTGGCAACAGCTAAGCAAGAGGCTGCCATCACTGTCCTGGAACTCAATGAGAAGATAAAGACTCTCAGTGAAGGAAAGCCAGCCCCTAGAGGTCAGTATTACCATGTGACAGTTGCATGCTGGCCCTCCCTCTGTCCTGGGTGATGTATACAGTTTTATTGGCAACAATGCAAAGAGGGTCACAGTGCCAGGCAGCATCCTGGCCCAGCAGCATGCTGGTCTGGCCTGACCTCCATTCATCACAAATAGAGACATCACACAAGCTACTCACTCCAGGTTGGGTTCACTTTTACCATAAAGAAACAGAGAATGAACAAACAGCGGAAGTGTCTAAAGCTGAAGAGTGGGACTGAAATAGATCTGCTAAATGTCCTTACATGTGCTGGGGGGCTCTTAGGGAAGGTTGTGGCATAAGAAGAAAGACCCAGGACCCTCAGGAATGGGGCTTTGAAGTGGAGCAAGGAGAGGAGTCTGTCAACTCATTCACTTGTAGACTAAGAGTGGCCTAAGAGAAAGGAAAAATTTGAGTTTTAACAACAGGCAAATGAGCCAGAACAAGTAGGAAAGGCTGGTAAGGGATGAAGTCTGGGTGGTTTGGAAAAATGTTAATAGCTACTTTGGTTTGAATTATTTTAAAAGTCTTCTCCAACTAAGAGATTATATAAACCTATACCAAAAACCCTCAAATTGTCATCATGAGCAATAATAGGATAATATTGAATAATAAGTGTCAGATACTTTGCTAATACTTCAGATGTATTAAATTCTCAGAATTACCTCTGAAGTAAGTACATTTATGGATTCCATAAGAATAAGCAGAGGCTTAGAGATGTTGATGACCTTACTCCAGAGTAGGCATGTACGAGCAACACCTGAGCAATCAGCCTCCAGACAGCAACTTACCCCGGACTTGGCTGCCTGCTGACAGAAAGGCTGTTTTATCTCAGCTATGAAGCAGTGATGTCAAACCACATTCTGCCTGGTGGATCTCTTGCAAAACTTTGGTTCCCTAGAATGAATGTCTTTCTTTGACATGTGGCACTCTTGAAAAACTAGGAACATGCCATTGTTCTTACCCTGGCTTCCTTTATTACTCATAAGTAATTCTGGAAAAAGAGGAGGGACATGGAAATAAGTGGAAGAAGAAATAGGCGATGCAGTGGCTTCAGAAAGTGAGACACTTCCAGCATCCTATCCACACAGTGAAGCTCTTAATGTGAATTTGGTTTTAATTTTCATTTTTGAGTAGCACTTTCCTGGGGTTGAAATCACATTGATTTCAACAAAGCCACCTTAAAACACATGTTGCAATTTATTCTTCCCTTTAAATAGACCAACAGAAAGTTTATAAATTTTATCTTAGCACCATGAAATCTAAAAACATAAAACCTATTAAAGAATACTATGGTCTTTATTCTAAAGCATGTTAGACAGATTTCAAATTGGTGGCATAATAAAGAGCTGATAATGATTGCACAGCACATTGGAAAAAGTTCTCCGGTTCACTGAGGGAAGCTTTTAACTGACTAAGAAGCTGATTTTAAACCTAGGGGGGGGGGGGAATCATTGTAAGCCATCTGATTCTCATTATTCTCACTTTTGAAAAAAAAATAATAGATGTTGTCTAATGAAAATTTTGTCCCTTTGATATTTTTTTGATAGATCAAGATTAAAATAATACTAAGGTACCTAAAAGTTCAAATATGGAAGTGAATAAAGGGTATTAAATCCCACTTTTCTTTTATTATGCATTTTTCTCTATATTTCTATTTAAAAAAACTGACAGTACATGGAGGAAAAAACCCTCCAGTATATTATGACCAAATATAAATTTAAATAAAGTCAGGTATTCCACAATCAATTATGAATAAAAAACAGTGACTCCCTTTTGGGCCTATAAGTTGCTTCTATTATCTGGTGGAGAAACTGAGTCACCAGGCTGACATATAGCACAAAGTTAATCTTAAAACCAAGTATCTGCAACATTCCAACTTTCCCATAGGTCCCATGCAGCCTCACCCTGAATTCAATAGCCCAGGAGATTGACATTGTGGTCCCGCAGTAATATTTGCTCTTATTCTCAGAGACTTTGATCACTTTGCCCTACCTTTCAGTTCACTTGAAAATAAAGTATGCGAAGGTCTTGGCAACTTTAATGACCCCCACTAAACCACAGAACATTTAGTGTTGACCCATTTCCCACACATTTTTCTCTACCTGAACACCACCCTCCTCTAGTTATCTTGTGTCCTTATATGAAACATTTGTTTCCAGTTCTCAGACCTCTCTTTGCAAATGACAGATGTTCCAGTCATAATAGTTTAAATAGAATGGGTGATTTATTGGCACGTGTAAACAGAAAAAGGGAATGCCATTTGCCTTAGAGTCCAGAGGATTCAGGTTCTCAGATACCATCAGTGCTAGTGAATCACTCATCTCTTCTTTTCTGTAGGGAAACTTCATTCTCCCAAGCAACAGCAGTTATGGCTGCCCTCCTTATCTCACCTTCAGATGAAAGAAAACATTTTCCCACTACTTTTAATAACAAAAAGTGTAAGAAAAAACTCCAGCATGGCTTAGGTTGGGTACCGCCTGAGTACATGAGCCAGTCTTTGTGGCCGGGGTTGGACAATTTTGGTCATACACTTGTCACTGGAGGTGGGGTATGGGGAAATAAGGATAGGGGAGGATAATGTTTTGACTGGCAGCTCCCACCAGAAGCATAGGGCTGGATCAGGATAAAGCACTTTCTTAAAGAAAGGACAAGTCTGTTACTGGAAAGAGAAAGTGAGGCACAAAACCAATATGTCCGATACACTTTTAGCTGGTGGTCAAGTTAAAATATAATGTAATACTGGGGCCTCCCCTGGTGATAAAGGTGGTTGAACGCAGTGCTATGAAACTGTCCACAGCCTCTGCAGTGTGGGTTCGATCCCAGCCAGGCAGCGAGAATCCCACGTGGCGTGGCAGACCTCTCCTGTCTCGCCAGCTGCTCCCCTCAGCAGTGTATTTCAGTCAGTCTGCCTGTTCTGTTCCCTGCTCTGTCTCTGGTGAATCCTCTCACCCTCCTGCACATCTGGCCTGTACCCCGGTTCTTGTACGCATGAATAAATAAATCTTAAATATATATATAATGTAATACTTAATAACTCACTCATCAATGAGCACTTGCAATTTTTAAGTAGATACTTATTGATGAACCAAAGACCTTCATTATACAAAAAAAAAAAATGCCCCATGGTATAATTTCATACCCCATAATAGATGGCAAGTGAACCATTTTGAGAGGATTCCCCTTCCAGCCTCCATCAAGGGATATCATGGTCACATACTCTGAAAGTCTAACTTACAATAACAATTAAAATTGTGGGCCTCCCTGGTGGCACAAGGGGTTAAGACACAACTTATGAAGCTATCCACAGCCACTGCAGCTCAAGTCGATCCCTGGCCTGCCAGGAAGCTACCCACATGGTGCAGCAGATCTCTCCTCTCTCACCCACTGCTCCCTTCAGCAGTGTATTTCAGTTGATCTGCCTGTTCTGTTCCCCACTCTGTCTCAGGTGAATCCTCTCACCCCCCGTACCTCTACCCCATACCCCAGTTCATGTACACATAAATAAATAAATCTTTAAAAAAACAATTAAAATTGTAAGAGGAGAAAAAGTATTGATTCTAAGTGACACACTACCTGGATATTAACAGCTACTTATTGTAGTTACAAACTGATGCTTATAATCCTAACAAGTAGATTAATGATATTTCTAAATAAATCATAACTTCTTTTTACCCAAATGTGAAAATATTTTTCCCTTTTGGTTCATTTTCTATGTAAGTCTATATAGATATAGGTATTTAGTTGTTCAACTCTTCCGAATAGAGGGATGTCCCAGAATATTAAGAATGCTCTTAAGCATAGTCAAATTAATGAAATATTAAGCTACCAAACTTTATTTTTACATAAACACAGTAAACTAGTTCATTGGCTATGTACTTAAATTACCTCCAAGAAATAAATGATTTAAGTCAATGGAAAGTTCAACTGAAAAGAAAAGAACCTTTATTACAAAACTGGCACAGCAGGAAACTTACTTACAGCCTGAATGTTGTTTGTTGATTTTACTTTGCCCAAATAATCAAAGCCCAAGGCAGATTCCTTCTGTCATTTCCACAGCCTGCACCTGAAATTGCTTACAGTTTTATTTACTAGCAGAATTCAATGAAATGCCTATTGTACCCCTTTAAAACTTCAGCTCACCTCTGGTAAACATCAGTATACAGAAACCTAAGGTTAAATTTCAAAACAGTGTTTGCCTCCTTTGGTTTAGGAAGACAGAGTTACTTTGCAAAGGCCTTCTTGACTAAAATTATGTTGTTGACTTACAAGCATTCATTCACTTGCTATGATGAAAGCTCCTATCTTTGACCAGAATGTCAGAAATCTATACAAAAGGCAATGCACAATTTTGGATTTTTTTTCTTTTAAATCTTCTTTTTTTTTTTCTTTTAAATCTTTTTTACAGATGAACAAAGAAAAAACATTCTTTGTTCATCTATAAAAAGAAACACATCATACATTCAAGCTTCATGATGAGCTTAGCAGCAATTCAGTCACATCTTCTGACTGTGCTTCCAAATCTAGTTCTCTTGTTCGTTTCACCAAATCTGCACTTTCTTCCTCTACTGAAGTCCTGACTACCTCAGTCATCCATGAGCATTTGAATCAACTTCTTCCAAACTCCTAATAATGTTAATATTTTAACCTCCTCTCATGAATCACAAACATTCCTAAGGGCAAATCCTTGCCAGAAGGTTTTCAATTTACTTTGCCTAGATCCATCAGAGGAATCACTGTCTATGGCTGCAATAGACTTCAAAAATTTATTTCTTAAGTAACAGGAGCTGAAAGTCAAAGTCTCTGCTCGATCCATAGGCTACATAATAAATACTGTATTAGCAGGCATGGAAACATTAATTTCCTTGTACATGTCCATCTGGGCTTTTGGGTAACCAGATGCATTGTCAATAAGCAGCAATATTTTGAAAATAATCTTTTTTTCTAAGCATTAGGTCTCAAGAGTAGGCTTACAATAT